TAATATATACTTTTTATTAAAAAAAATAGTCAAAAATTGGAAGTATATAAAAAAAATAAAATATATTACTTGAGCTAAGAAAAATCCATTTATAAAAATGTAAATATTAATTAAACAATAAGAAATTATCAATTTATATGAACATTTTCAATTTATCTGAACTTACTTAAATAATATCTCATCTTGAAAATTAAATGTTACATTCAGTTTCTAATTTAAAAAGCAGTTATAATAAAAGATATTATTCTTAAGTTACTTGTTTATTTCTTAACTACGTTTAATTAATTGACATATTTAAAGTTTATGAATATTGTTAATATCACGTATCTATGTATCATATTGTTACTTTATTCAAAATAACGATTACTTTATATATACCCCTTATTCTTACAAGACCTGACATCTACAATTATTTGACATACAAATTTGATTATTGACTTTTCGAACACATTTGATGCGTAACTTGTGATAAACCATTATTCAAAATTATCTTCAACGCATATGCTTATACCCAGCGTTTTCCGATATCTAGATGAAACCATCTTAGATGGTCATCTAGATAGAAAATTGGAACATCTCATCTTACATCTAGATTGTGCAAATATAAACCATCTTCATCTTCATCTTAGAGAGAAAAATATACCATTCTATCTAAAAAAAATTTTAGATGATTTTAATTTGACATAAATAGGTTTGTTTCTTACAATTTTCAGCTGACATTTTTCTTTTTCTTACGATTTTATGAAAAAAAAAAAAAGATCTTATTAGTACGCAACCAATTATCAGCAGCAGCATAGAAGCGCTTTCCTATTTAGAATCAAAATCAAAGGATTTATGTTTCCTCGTAAATTTCCCTAATGTAAAAAAAAATTTTTTTTAATATAATACTTGTTTATCATCATCTGCGCCAGTAGAGCGGCTGTTTAGTATAGGACAACAAATATATGTACTTCGTCGTAACCGTTTGTCGGATGGGAATTTTGAGAAACTTTTGTTTTTGAAAAATAAGGACTTATAAATAAAAATGTGAGCGTTTATATATCCTTTTTCCGATCAGCGCAACATTTTATATTTATAATTATTTTAAAACAAAATCATCTAAAAAACAATCTAGATGGATCGCTTAACCATCTCATCTTTCATCTAGATTTTTGCAAATTAAAACCATCTTCATCTCATCTAAGATGGATTTACGGATTTCCATCTCATTTCCATCTAGAAGATTTTAAAACCATCTAAGCGCAACATACCACGCATACATGTATTATGTAAAAACAGCTATGATGATTACGTCTAATGAAGATATTCTCTAACAAAGATATTTTCTCTTAACAATTTTACATTATGTTATCTTTTAATCATTTTTTGTTAATTACGAAAAAAAATTTAATAATTTTAAATTTAATTTTTTTATATTTACGAGATTTTTACAATAATTCTAAATTCCAGTTATAGCTAATAGTTTTGTATAATTTATTTTACAATTAATTTAAAATTTAATGAATTATTCTTATCTATCTTATATCTCTTACAGAGAAAAAATATATCTTGTATCTGATTATCTATATATCAAGTAATAATATTTATAACAATAATATAATAATTTATTGCTAAGAAATAATTGCTGAATAAAAGAAAAAAGTTTTACATAAAAAAGAATATAAGAACAGAAAAGTATATATAATAATATTAAAAAATAGGACAATCAAAAGGCTCAGTTGAATAAATAAAAAAAAAAAACAAACAAATTGCCAAACACAAGTTCTCAGTGTATGTAAGAAAATAAATCTATATACATATAAAGGATCTGGAGAAAGTGTGTCATTTTGTAAATTCAGGCCTAGTTTTTGTTTTTTAATATGTATCATCTCTAATATTAGTTTTTTATTTAAAATTTGTTTTTTGTCCAAAATATGTACTATATGTATACTATCCCAATCGAATTCATGAGATAAGTCAATACAATGTTATGTGATTAGTGATTACAGAATGTTGGGTTGTGTTTCTGTTGATATGATTTTTATGTTCGTTTACACGCGTTTTTAAACACCTGCTCGTTCGTCAGAAAAATTTACGTTAAAAATAACTTCTAACTTTTAATTTTAAATATTTTTAGTAAACTTAACAATTTGATGAACAAGATTTGACTTAATTTGACTTTAATTTTTTTTAACATTACCGTACCTTAGTATTTATAATTTTTATGCGCTATCATCATTGATGTATCTTATTTTTAATTGTTATTTTTATATTCATTTAAATATGTACTGAAGAGGACCTTAACCGTAGGTCGAAAAGTTTACGTTTTATTATTTATTTCGAATAAATTGTATAAAAATTATACACACTGAGAACATTGTGAGCATAGTATTGGCTCATATTGGCAATTTGTTTGTTTCTTATATTAATATATATTCGAGAATATCTCCAGCAAACTTCATCATTGTATTGTATCGCACATTACGCGTGTAAAAATAGCAAAACATAAATCGTAAATCGTTTTTAAAAGTAACGCGTTTAATTGACATATTTTAGTAAACAAAAAATTATATTTTTTTCTTTCATATAAGAATTATTAATTATCAATTGCACATTTTAAACAGTACTCAAATACACAAAAGGAAAGCGATATACAGATAAAATGTGCATCGAAGAATTACAAAACAATAAATACAAAATATAAAATGGAGATAAGTTTTTCACATTATTATAAATTTAAAATGCGCTCTTAAAAATATCTCATCAAACCCTTCATTAATATTCATAAATAGTTGATTTATACATTGAATAACTATCGTCAAACGATAATAATTAGGGCACGTACTATTTATTTAATAATATTCTAGTATTATAATTAAATCTATATCATGTGATTAATCACAAGATACGTCGCTTATGTCAAAAAGATACAAAACTATTAGCTTGCCATCACAGTGATCCACTCATTTCCACTCAGTTCGTATCTTCTTTACGGTAAATCACAATTTAATTTGCGATTATATCGTTACAGCTAAATCGGCATAATCTTATATAGAAGACTACTGTTGTCAATATACTTACTGCTGTGAAGTTACTAAATCATGATAGGCCTTTAGAAACTGAGATTATGGCTAGCATTCATAATCGATTCTTATATTTAAGATCATTTCAAGTACAGTCTTAAGATGTCACAAGTTAAGCACAAAGCCGTTAAATTAGCATGTTAAATTATTACTTTCCAGTAGCAAGATGACGTTTTAATGGCATCATTAAGACGTCATTTGACATTACCTTGATATTTAGATTAAAACAGTCTTAAAATAAGAACGGACTATATAAATATCAACAATTATGACGATTTAAGTAAACATTTCTCGTTATGTATTGTTTAAAACGATGACACGCGAATGATACGAAGTGTGTTATGCACTCCGAAGAACGATCTTCGTAATAAAAATTTTAATAACAATTTCAATTTATTATTTGCAATTAAATGACGTGTAATATTCGTCATAAGAAATAAAATATTATTTTGTGTTTTTCAAAAAAAATACAAGACAGATAATTTATTTTAGTTTAATCTAAAAAATTTTGATCTACGTAATCTAAAAATATACCTAGCTGCGTTTTGGAAATTGTAAATTTTTAATTATAATTAAACTTTATAAATAATTCATAAGTTATTTCGCGCGCGCGTATTATTTAAAATTATCAATAATATAAATAATATATTATCAATAATATATAAATAATATAAATAATATAAATAGAGACAAATAAAATGCAAAAAATAACTTTTTCATTATTTGTCCTTAATTGTACATTTGTATATATAATGTAATAGTTTAGGTATCCTACGAGCATAATAAATTATGCATAATTAGTTTCAAGGTTGGGAAGTCGTCGTAACGTCGTTATAATTATTCTCTTTAATAACGAATGATTAATGACGTTATGTTTCCTTATTTATAATGTTAACATTAATGCAGTTACATACTTTAAATAACAATAATAAAACATTATTATAGTTACTTTTCATACAACATAAATAATTTCAACAATTGCAGCAACATTGCAATGTTCAATACTCAGTTAAGTAATATTGCAATAACATTATAAACGTTGCGACAATGTTGCTGCAAACTTCTACACTGCTTGATTGTATATAACATATATGTATAGAGTATGCATAAGTGAGTTTTTTAAATTATGTATTAATTAATCGCGTAATCATTATAGATTTTGTATTAAACTGGTCAATTAGTGACATAAACAATTAGACTCCACTTTAAAAAAGATCATTAAGACTTGAAAAAATTTAACAAAAGTTCCAATGATTCGTTAGTTTTTTAGTATCTACACTGAAAAAAGATACTGATTTAGCCATCAAATGTTGAATAAAATAATTTTAGCCAAGTTTGAGTAATATAAACAAATATAATTCTTTATCAATATTTAATAAGTATTATCGTTTACCAATATTAAATATTGATAAGAGTAAAATTATATTTAGTTAAATTACCTGAATATTTGGTTGAAATTATTTCACTCAACATTTGGCTATAACTATGTAAATTCTTTTTCCAATGTAACAGTAACAATAACAAGTTTTTTCAATTAGTAACAAATAGTTATATATATATATATATAACAAGATATTTTTCAGAAAAAATGGTAACAAATAAAGTGCAATAAACGAGTTGATTTTGTAAAATAATTTTCCTAACTCTTTTATATCCTTAATAACTTAGCTGTTCGATACAACTTTGTTATCGTAGAAGAAGATACGTACATACAAGAAGAAACGTAATGAGTGAATCGCTTTCGTTTGTAAATTAAAGAAATAAAAAATAAAAGGTTTAAAAATTCAATTGTCAAATAATCAGATGTGTTCAATTTACGCGAATGTCTGGCCTCTGTGCTTTTCAATTTACATTTTGTCTTTTTACACGTGTTGAACATTGGAGCAGAAAACGCGTGATACGTCAGCTATAATAGCGGGATAGAGACTATAGTGTGATTTAAGTGAAATGTTAGTGACCATCTCATTCCAATTGCATCGTCTCCTTCCTCGGCTGCACCCATTTAATCGCTTTTCCCTTTTCCGTTCGGTATCCCGTCGCTCACTTTCTCCGCGACGCCATTCGCTTTGGCCGAGTTCTGAATCAACGGCACTGCGCCATTTTCTTTCTTGGAAGTATAAGCATTATTGTAGAAGTCCGAAAACAGGAAATAGAAGAACATCGCATTCGGCAACACCAGAATGACCGACCATTTTGGATAGTTGCAGTCATAGAACAACAATAGGCAGTTGTGTAGAAAGGCCACACAGAATTGGGACTATCGAATAAAAATTGTCACAAGTACAAATAATTAGTCGATTAGGAACAAATGATTAAAATAAATTCGGTAAAAATTATAAAATAAATAATTTTTAATTAGCTTCACTAATTAAGTTTTAGTTTATTTGTTTCGTACCATTTGTAGAGTAGTAATGTATTTCTTCCACCAGAGATACCGTTTTTGCAAATTATGAGGTAGCAATGCTGCCAGGAGATAATAAGTGTACATGATAATATGTACGAAGCTATTCATAATTCCTGCAAAGAAAAACGTCGAGTTATGAGTTATCTATATGATTCTACTCTAATTCGTTAAAAATACAATAAATCGAATTTTCGATGAAAAAGTGCAGGCAAGAAACGATATCACCAAAAGATTTTGATAAAATTTGATAAATCTAAAAATAATTTCATTTGACTATCAAAATAATTATGTTAAAAACTAAAAAAAAAAATGTAAACAACGATACAAAAGATATTGATATTTTACCAACAAAATTTAAAATCACCAGAATTTCTCTTTTTGTGAACAAATAAAAAAATTAGAAAAAAAAGAGATTAAATTATTACATTATTTTCTAACGTACCTACAAAGACGCCATGGCCACCGGGATAATACTTTGTAGCGCCCCATGATATCATTGGCATCACGGTATGATGGTACATATGAAGAAATGTGATTTGTTTATCCTTCTTGCGCAATACGAAGAACACCGTGTCGAGAAGCTCTGTGAGTTTCGCCAGAAAGTAAATGTAAACGCCTCTTGCGACCTATAATGATCGTGCAGGAAGTATAGATGAAAATATCCCACACAGTACACTTCATCCAAGGGACATCATATTGATGTTACAATATCGTTGATATTGTAAACATCATGCAATGTTTTTTGGATGAGATATACTTTATGGAATGGCAGATATTCCATCTTTCTTTTTTTATCATGCTAAAAAAAGTTAAATTACGATATTCATACCATCTCAAATAGATATTTCATATTTAAATCGGGAAGGTAAATGACATATAAACAACGATGAAATGTCAGAAGATAAATTATAGTCAATTGAAAACTTAGGAACATTATATAGTGTTTAGCATTTACGTACTCTTAGAGGATACGGTTTGTATGAAAAATCCACCCCCTCGCATGTAAGGCTGTAATTATGGAAAAATATCGCTTCCATGCCTTCTTTAAATAACCATGTACTAAGAAGAATCTGCAAAAAGTTATAAACGACTAGAATATTTTTTAACTGATACGGCTTTCGGTGTTCCATGTTTCTCGGGCCCCATGACAATACAAAATAAAGATAGCCGATCAAGATACTAAGACCGGGTAAGGGCGATGATATGAGAAACCAGTCCCTGGTTCGAGGATCTAAAAAAAAATTACATATAATATAATAAAAGAATTATGAAATAAGATATTTTAGATTTGTATTTTATGCTTCGTTTTATTAATACAGTTTTTTCTATTTGCATCTATTCCAATAGTTACTTTAAGCTTTAGCCAATTAGAAAAATTAATATAAATCCAATATGAATTATTTAAATAAATAATATTATGAATTATATAATTAAATATGACGTATAATTTAAACTAACTTATTTACACAAAAATAAGAGCTATTTGATGTAATTCTTATCTTTCATTGAATTTAAACTTTTATTATAAAAATTTCAGAATTTTTTATTATTATTGAAGAACATACAGTTTTATTATACATTTCATTTCTTTCCTTGTTATTATTATGTAATGACAAACAATTAAACGATGCATCATTTATTGAAAATATCTTTAAAACAAGTAAAAAAAAACGATAAGAGTACTTTTCTCGAATAAAACCTAATTATTATATCCTATTTTTTGAAAATAGATTTTTGTGATTACAAAATAAATATTCAATTGTATTTCAGTTATAAAATAAATTCTTTCAATAGATTTAGTAAATTTGACTGCTTGTAATTTTTAATTTTTAAAAAATATTTTATTATAATCCTAAATTACATGTATGTAGTCATACCACACCTACAAGGTGTGATCAAAAAAAGACCGGAATTTCTCAATAATTTACGTATTAATTAAAAAATTACAAATTTAATGCAGGTCGCTTTCAAAGTAACTCCCCTGGGCATCAAATACACCGTTTGAACCGTTTCTTCTAGTCCGCGAAGCATGCGGAAAACGCAGCGAACGGAATTGATCGTAATACCTCCTGCGATTCTGATATTATTGTCTTTCTCGTCGCAAAACACCGCCCTTTCAGTCATAACTTAATCCGGGGGAATAGAAAAAAGTCAGTTGGAGACAGAGCTGGAGACAGAGCTGGAGAGTAGGGGATTGCGGGACTATTGGTACGTTGTTACGAGCGCGAAACTCTCGAATACGAAACGCAGTATGTGGCCGCGCATTGTCATAATACAATAGTCAGTTCTTGCGCTGCCAAATAATATCTGTATAGTCTCAAATAGTTCTCTCAGTGACTGTCGACGGTCTACAGCCAAGAGATTGGAGATTTGTTCCTTCGTTTCGTCGTTAACTGATATGGACGGACTTCCAGCTCCTCTTCCACCGACATTAAATCCTTCTTAAACCGTCTGTACTGATCGTAAACTTGAGTAGAACTCATAGTCTCATCCCTATAAACTTCTTAAGCAGTTTGAATGTCTTCGCACACGTTTTTCCCAACTTATAGCAAAATTTCACGCAAACACGCTGTTCTTACACTTCATTTTAGAAACTCGTAATGAATCACAGAACGATTCAAACACACACTCGGTTCCAGTACAATAACTTTTGAACTACTGAATCGATCATAACAAAATTTCTACAAAACATACTGGAGAAGGATGCGCTATTTATCTGTAAAATTTTAAACTACATCTTTGAAGTTTTACACGCTCAGCGACAGAATTCCTGTCTTTTTTTGATCAGATCTTGTACAAGAGATGTTTTAAAGACATCCAGAGGACATTAAGGACGTTCTCAGGACGTCTCTCGAATAAAGCGTGTTGTGTAGTTATTCATGTTATAGATGATACAAAATTAATAAGTGAAAGCTAATTAAATTATCCTTATAAGTTATGAGATTAAAGGATAATGAAATGAAAGAAATCATTATTATTTTGATAAAATAAACGGAAGTATATAAAAAGAACGATTATATTATATCTATATGTATGGTATATACGACACGTATTATGTTATAATGTCTCAATAATCAGAATTTTTCGACTCTCGTGTAAAAGGAACTTACCAGATAAGTCGTGGAATAGAAATTGCCAGTATCGCACTACAGAGTTGTTATAGATATTAGACATCCTGTCAATCGGCAACGCGGTGATGTTCATTTTGAAGTTAACTAAAACATTTTACGATCTCTTTATTTTACGAATATGATGTTCTTTAGTTATCATGATAAATTGATTTAATAAACTCTTACTTATTTAAAGGATTGTATATAAAAAGAATGTTAATATAATTTATATGCCAATAATACCTATTTATAAAGAGTCTACACTCTGGTTTCTATGATAGATACAATAAATATGAACCAACTTATGTTTATGGCTCAGGAAAAGTTTATCGTCGCGTTGTACATACAAAGTATATGTTAAGTTTTATCATAAACACTGTCTATTTCTGTAGCGCTTGTTTATTCGTAATTAAAACGTTGGATTCGTCATAAAAACAAATTCTTATTTTTATATCGTCATTAAACTCGCGAGGCCCTAATTAGGTTAACGTGTGGTGTTTCCTTGCGCAAGATGCGCGATTTATACCGATTGCTGAAATCCGCATCCTTTCGACAAATCTGCTTATGAACCGGTTCACACATATCCGGAATGATCCAATGTGTTTAGAATGGCGGATAAAAGCATCACAACACCCATTCATTTTCACAACCTTTAATAATAGATCATATTGCTACTTACTCAATGGCAATGTTCACCGTTGGAAAAATGTGAATAATCACGTATGTTTAACATAATAGACACTGGTTTTTATGTAATGTTGAGAATGACAACGAATTTATTTATCTGTACATTGACCAGACATGCGATCTCAACGTTCTTTCATAGACGAATTACTGATCCTTAAACTTTATAGAGGAAACTATAAAATATTTTTTTTATTTATTTTCATGTCGATTTATTAATTAATTAGCGCTACATTGTGCAATTGTAATTACATCCACTTTAAAAAAAATATTCCTATAAAAATATACAATTAAATTCGTTAATTTTTTAATTATTTAAATCCGTGTATTGTGCAATTATTCACATATGACTTTTATCGATAAATACAAGCATTTAACATAAATTTTTATTAATTTTATATATTTTTATATTTTTATGTTTATATTAAATTTTATATATTTTTAACACAATGACATAATTAATTTACCATCAATATTATATTTCAACGAATTTTTAGGCTAATAGATCTGTTTCTTCTTATTATTATTTAACATAAAGTTTACGTTATATATAGTATAAAAATTCTACAGAAATAAATATTTATCAATAAAAATGAGGTAAAAATATGGAACATAATATAAACTATAAACATACATTTATTTTACGTTAAGAAATTTTTGTGTTGTTTATGTAATCACTAAGGATATTTATTGTTATTCGATAATATCGAATAAAAAATTATGAATAAAATATTGACTAGATATTTTTTTACTATTCATATTCACTCTCCATTTTTATGTATATATGTACTTTTAGGAATTTTAGGTGCATTCAGTACTCGGTAGTCGGTACTACGCTGAGGGCGACTGTTACCAACGCCGATTAACTTAATCAACGATTAACTCAATCAGAAGTGTAGCCAACAGCAAAACTGTGTATCGTTCTTAATCTCATCTCTTCATGATATACTTGTTTCTCTACTATACATTCCTTCTTAACTGTGATAAAAATAATAAACATCGCTTATATTTACTACGATGAGATTTAAGATTATTAATTTTTATACCTTTTTGACGATTAAGAAATATATCAATTTTCATATGATAAGACTTTAATATGATAAATTATTGCGAAATGTATTATCTGTACATTTTATTATTATTAATTTTTTATATTAACATTGAGAATGACCCAATCGGTGTCGAAACGTACATTTCTTTAGTATATTAAACGTTAATATTTAATTATATTAGCTCTCTTTGCCCTTTATTCATTATATTTATTTTATTCTTATAAAGCTTTATTACTTTTATTTAATAAATATCGTCTGTCTATAATAATAATTCGTTGTAGATTTCCAACTATAAGATTATAATCTTCGTATTCATTAAATAGTGAAATATTAATAACTTCATCCATATTAAAACTAAAAAAAATTAGATACTATGATTAAATTTAATGACATGTATCTAATGTCACGAAAATGAAATAAGGAAGAACGATATACAGACTTGCTGTTAGCTACATTGCTGATCGAGTTAATCGTCGATTAAATTAATCGGCGTTGGTAACAGTCGACTGAGCGTTCAATGAGTTCTTGCTTTTGTTTAGTTGGTCTATACTTTTGGATTCAACGGAATGTGCCAATTGAATGCAAGGGTACAGTGAGCGGTGTCGAGTGTAAGTTTAATATAATTAGTAATACTGAGTACACCCATTGTATTTCATAGTTGGTAACACTGTTTGTGACAGATGCGCGCTAAAATACCTGTTTTAAACGTATATTTATTTTTCTGTGTATATAATTCTGAATTCTCTTTGCTTGTGTTCATAATTTCACAATAAGTCTTGTGCGGAAATATTTTACAAAATTTGTAAAATTTAAACTATCCAAAAGTATAAAAAGTTCTGGGACGACCTCTTCGCACATTTAAAGACAAAACATTCATTTGCATATAATGATTGTGTAAAAAAGAAAAAATCAGAGGTAAGTTATACTGCTTTTTACATATCTTCGTTCGTAAGCTCTAAAAAAAAGTGGCATTTTTTTCTTTAAATTTATTCGTTGTACGATATATTCAATATAACGTCTATTCATTCGGAATGAATATAGATAATTTTAAAATATCTGAATATATTCATATATAGTCGATATTTTTGCTCGATATTGACATGTCTAATAATCACTACACAAATCCATAATAGTTTGTTATCGAAACTGCATACAATATGCCATTCCATACGTTCCATCGAAATGATACGCCGTGATGCTTCTAAAAGCGCATTTCAACAATTGTCATTACGGTTCGCAACAGTTTAATAATGCTACTCTCTCGCCTTTTAAATCAGTCCAACACACTTTTGCACTTATTATCCGACATGCATTAAGCTCCTTCTGATTAATGCTATTAGTACGTAATCATTATCTGCCACGAATAACGGAGAATTGCGATCACTGTAAATTTGTATAAGTACAACTTTCTTACAACATGAAACTAAGTAGAAGCGCTGGTATAAACGGCGGACGATCGACTGCACGTTGGACTTTTCACTGGAGAGTGAGAGCGGAGACCAGAAAAAAAAGAAAATACCGGTATGATTACTGTAGTGGTTCGACAACGAGTAACTAGCAATACCTTGATTAAGTATAATTCTACTACATATAAACGATCTCCATTTAAAGAAGGCTATCTTTTAGATATCTGTATACAGTGAATTAACAAATTTTCAAATAATGACAGACGTTAGTCCAAATTTTCCTTTTTAGTTTTCAGTCACGATTTTTTCCATTATAATTATATACAGAATATACAAATATGTAAAAATATTTAGTAAATTATGATACACATTTTTTTATAATATTATTTCTACTGTTTTTGTGTGAATAATTATAATGTGATCTCTTAAAAAAAAAATTATCTTTTCGCAAAAAAGATAATGATAAAAAAGAGAATTAGATGCTTTTAATTGCCCCAGACAGAGTATTAAATAATTTATGAATTGTGAAAACAATTCAGAATACATCACATCACATCATATTTTTTATATTCAACGATTTTATATAAATTTACGTAAAATCACTGAATATAAAAAAATATTATATTATATGGTAATGCATTCTTGATTTTTTCCTAACATAAAAAAAATTTTTTAAATGATATGTATATTGTAGTATTTTGTTAAAATCTTATATACTTTATTTTATATTTTAAATTAATATTTTAATGTACTCTCGAGATAATAAAATATAATATAATATAACATATAATATAATAAACTATACAGAACGGGCAATCGAGAGCAAAAAATGCTTTTATCTATTTATCTGTCTCTTCAGAATATGCACGCATGCACGGTCTTTTATAAAGATTCTTTATTTTATTGTGTATTAAAAGTGCATCAGAGTTTTCTTATTTAAACAGTATCTCTAAACTACATCAATATCTCCTCGTGTGCTTTAAAAGTGGTAAATTAACTGTTGTATCGTTATAAGCATCTCTTTGTATCACTTATTATGAAAATTTAAAGCATATAATTAACAAAAAGTAAATTCTATATATATAGAACATAAGTAATATCTTGATCTAAATTGATCTATATCTTTATCCAATTACTGCTATCGAGTCATAATAGACACTACAAGACGTTGATATACTTCGTGACAATGCGATTTTTTCACGAGTGTTGCGCTCTTTTTTACATAAAAAAAGAAAAATTTGTGATTTGTAAAAATCATGAAATCATAAAATTTTGCCTCATTTCTATTTCGTAAAATCAAATATTACATCAATATTGTATATATAATGGCTCCCGAGAGATTGGCCGGTGCACGTCATTAAAGTTCTTACGCAAAATCTTCATTTTAAGACATAAATAACTAGTTTTAATGACAATAATTTTAAATTAACTCATCAGTTGAGACTTACATGTCTTAACAATTTAGTTTCACAAAATTACTCTCTTTTTTTTGAGATTCTGAAGCACATGGGTTTACATCACCCTTATATCTTTAATTGCGTATATCTTTTGATGTAATGAATTAAATTTAAACGAATTTTTTAACCGATACGCCAAAAAAAGAATAAATTTGTGGAAAAATCGATAAATTAAAAATATTCGAAATACATATTTAGAAAAAAGGAAAAGAAAACATTTTAAACAACTAATATAGAGAAACAGGGTAATGAGCCAGAAAACATTTTAACTCACGAAAACACGTTTTCTTTGAAAATTTACAGTTTCGAGGAAAATCTGTTAGAGAGATTTCTCCAACGAGATTTCACAGATAATCGAACATACTTTGAAAAAAAATTCCATTATTTCGATTATATTTTCATAAAGGATGTTTTCGTTATATGGAATTCAACATTTAATAAATAAAAAACGACTATGAGATATTTTTATTTAATCCTTGAAATTTGTTGTGATTTGGAATAGGAAA